TTCTTCTTCTTCTTCTTCTTCTTCTTCTTCTTCTTCTTCTTCTTCTTCTTCTTCTTCTTCTTCTTCTTCTTCTTCTTCTTCTTCTTCTTCTGCTGCTGCTGCTGCTGCTGCTGCTGCTGCAGCAGCAGCAGCAGCAGCAGCAGCACTCAGGGCCTGCACACTGTCACTAAACTTCTTTTGCTCAAGGCTACCACTCTACCACTTGAGCTACAGTACCACTTCTGGTACTGAGGATCAAACCCAGGGCTTCATTTGTGCTAGACAAACATTCTACCACTAAGCAACATTTCCAGCCCCTCTTTTCTATGCAGAATAAAAAAAAACATGGACAACTTGTGTACATTACAGGCTGTTGTTTTATGGGAGGGCAGGGGAAGTCTCTGGTGCAAACAGGTTGTCTAAGGGAGAGGTGCAGACCTGAAGCAAGCACTAACTCTCAATTGCTGCCCTCCTTTGCATGCCTTATTGATATGTACATTTAGGCTGTTTGCTTTGGCCTTGACCTCTGTTGATTAGAAAAGTTCAAAGCCTTTTTTTGTGGTGGGGGGGGCAACTGGGGTTTGATATAAAGGCCGTTAGCCCGTTTTGCTTGTTTCACTTAATATTTTCAGATAGGGTCTTTTGCTTTTGCCCAGTACTTGGCTGCATTTCTCCTATCTGTACTTCCTGAGTAGTTGGGTTTACAGATGTGAACTGCCAGGCTAGCTTGACATTTGATCTAGGGTCTCTCTAACTTTCTGCTCAAACAAGTTCTGTCTATGATTCTCCTGTCTCCACCTCTTGAGTGGCTGGGTTTATAGGCATCCACTAGAAGTTCAAAACATTTTAAAGATTTAATATTTTTTAGATCCATAGACTTTACTTTGGTTGGGGTGAGTTGGGGAGACAGAGACAGAAAGATTCTCATTTCCTTTGTATATGGTATCTGCTAGAGGAAAGATTTTTTTTTACAATGTAGAATCACTATTGTTTTCTTCTATGACAGATATTTTCCTCAAAGATAAAGAACATATTTCCCTAACTTATCCATGCCATGGTTGTGTTAATGCTTGTGGGCACACAGCATAAATGACAGCTAAGTAAGAGAATCATGAAACACCATAGTTCTAAATTTGCATTCCTTTCTCTCCCCCCCCCCCAGTACATAGTAGCTTCTAATTTTTGTTATTTCTCTCCAGTTTTCTGGGTGCAGTTACTGGAAACTCAGGGGCACCTCTTATTTTAGAAGGACATCATCCTGTGACTCAGGAAGTGACAGGTTGGCCAGACTCCAGGTTTAAGTGTGAGGATATGAGCAGACTCCAACTTCCTTGAAGCTGTATAAAGGGAAGTTTGTGTGGTTTTCCCATGGGGATTGTTTCAGACAAAATTTGGTAAATAGGAAGAATGTTTAAGATAGATAAACTGGGAACTTGTTAGAATGCAGATGCCAGGGCCTGATTCTCAGTCTGTGTGAACACCAGTATTTTGAGTAAGCCCACAGTGATTGGGTGAACTATTAATCTTAAGACCCACAGTTAAGAAGGGGTTGAAGAGCATCTGATAACTAGAATAAATCTTAGCTTTTTACTTTGATATTCCAGTGAGAGATTTTCCTTCTTAAAAGAAATTCATACTGGAGAACATGATTAAAAATTGTCATATGTGGCTGGACACAGGGGTTCACACCTGTAATCCTGGGGACTCCAAAGGCAAGATGGAGAGGATCATGTAGGCAAAAAGAATGTGAGATCTCCATTTTAACCAACAAGAAGCTGAGCAGGTAGTACATGTCTGTCATCCCAGCTACACAGGAAAGGTAAATAGGGAGATGGTGGCCCAAGCCAGCCTGGGAAGGAATAAGAACCTGTTCAAAAGATAGGAATTCTAAAAGGTCTTGGGGGCATGTGGCTCATGTGGTATAGAACTTGCCAAATAAGCACAAATCCCTGAGTTTGAGTCCTAGTACTGCCAAAAATGTCTGGTGTGAAAAGATTTTTTCCAGTCCCCTGAGCTATCAGTGGCTTTTCCATGAGACAAAGGATTAGACAATGGAGGATTCGTGGTCATGCCAATTCTAGGAACCAAGGTTTCACTGGTAGTCTTGAGTACCTTTCAACAGATTTTGCTGTGTGTGGCTTGTGCCCTTCCTCACCAGGTCTTGAGGGCGTGGGGCCCAGGTTGCAGCATGGATGAACTGAGTTCACAATGTTGTCTGTCAGTCTCTGGTATTATCGCCTAATTGTGCTACCATCTGGTGTTGACATTTCACGTCATCTCCTTGGCTGCCGTCAGATCTGGGGAAGCGATACCACACTCTAGAGTTGTGAGGTTTAATAAATGTGTAAAATCACTTTGCTCAGTAAGATAGAGCCTCGAGGGGGAAGTGTGCTCAAAGTACACTAAATGTAGTATGCAAGTGTCCTTACTATGTATGGGCCCATTGTGTGGGGGGGTGCCGAGTGCAGGTATTGCTGGGGTGCCTGCACTGGTTCCTGCAGTGTGGCTTAGGGACCTTGAGTTTCAGCTTTCTCATTTGAGACATGTGACTACCTTCCTACCATTCATGATTGTTATCACCAATCCGTCATAATGCCTACCACCCCCTGCACACTGGAGAAATTCTGCAGACTAACTAATTGCTTTTGACAGCCAGGGCTATGTAGGACTACTGGATTGAGGTGATGGGAAATGGTTGGACGTGCATGGATGTGGGTGGACATGGGTGGACGTGTGTGAACCTGTATGGACACATGTGTATTGTATAAACCTGTGTGGATATATGTGGACTTGTGAGGATGCCTGTCACAGTCCTTGGCTGTGGAATCCTGGCGGCCGGGTTGGTGGGCATACGCTCATGTGCTCTCTGTCCGCATAGGATGTGGACAAGTGGTCTTTTGACGTCTTCTCTCTCAATGAAGCCAGTGGGGACCACGCGCTGAAATTCATTTTCTACGAGCTTCTCACACGCTATGACCTGATCAGCCGCTTTAAGGTAAGTGCCTCACTACAAAGATGAACAAATAAACCTCACAGCTGTCCATCCTTGTGATTTATGACCAAGAGGCTCCTTATCAATATCTCTAGGTAGCTTGGGCACGTTATTCTGTGTTGGGTGCTTTATATCCTATGCTGTCCGGGGCCTTCTTAGAAGAAAGAGGCTGGAGAAGCTGCAGATCTCCATCTTCTGGAGTCACCCAGAGCTTGCCAGAGCCTGCCATGGCTAGGCTCCATGGCTGCCCCATCTCCTTCTCCTTCCAGCCCCATTGTCACTGCTGTCAAAGGCCGTAACGCCCAATGCGTCATCACCACTGATGTCAGAGGCTATTTATAGAGGAACAAGGACAAGGAAATACAGAAAATTAGCGTAGTAATGGCTCACTTCATTTTCTTCTTGTGCAGCAAGTCCTTGGTTTGCATGGCAATCAAACTAAAGCTCTTTAAGATCATTCTGACATCATTCCTCAGGGCCTCAGGGCCAGATGTTCTGCAGCTAGGGCCCTCATATTTGATTTCAAGTTATCTGACAATTCTCCAGTAATTTCTGTTCATTGTAAGTCACTGTGATTTCCTCATGTGATTTCCACCTGGAGCAAGGGGGGGGGTGGAGAGGCTGTGTGCCTTCCACCTGCGCAGCCCCCTCGAGTGAATGAAGCTTGTTCTTCTCTTTCAGATCCCCATTTCTGCACTTGTCTCCTTTGTGGAGGCCCTGGAAGTGGGCTACAGCAAGCACAAAAACCCTTACCACAATCTAATGCATGCTGCCGATGTCACACAGACGGTGCATTACCTCCTCTACAAGACAGGAGTGGCGGTATGTAGAGAGCATAACTCTTGAACTACACAAAACATGATGCTGGCTTAATTAAATCAGCTCCAATTCATTGTCCAAGGGAGTTCATTGTGGCAGGTCCCTATATGCACATAATGTGCCTTGATCTGACACACTCCACCCTCACTCTCCCATCCCCTCCCCCTTTCCCAGCCCAAGCCCAGCAAGGACAGAAGATATTTCAACCATACTCATCTCTTCATTCATTCTGCCTCCCAATCTTACACAGTCTCCACAGGATATACTTTACTTTTCTAATATTCATTTTTGTTACAGTGTATTTTAATTGTTCAAAGGTGCTTCCATGGCATTTCTCATATGTGTATACCATACCTCAATCATATTGATCATCTGTCTATATCTAACTCTCTCTCTCATCTCTGTCTCTATCTGTCTGTCCATACATCTATCACCTATATCTGTCTGCATCTCTCTGGTCCTGATGCTGACTTCTTATTGAAGGATGTCCCCACGCTTGTTGAGCTTGAGCCCAGGAAGATGACATTTTATTTCATACTCCCAGGAATTGCCTCGCCACCATGGGAAATCTGGAGGTTTTCCATCACCTGTGAAGTGTTCTTCCTCCTGGACTTGATATAGTAGACACTAGTTGTCACTGTCATCGCCAGGCCATAATCAGTTACAACGAGTACAACTGATGATGTGTTTGCAGCTTTGGGTGGTGGTGGTTCTGTTGCATCACCAGGGTTAACAATGGTGTCTCAAAGTCTGAAACTGTGTCCAATAGACTTGGCAGCCATGTTATACCAGTTCAGTTTTGACTCAGACATCTGCATCTTTTCCACAGAAACTGTTGTTATCCACATCTGTCTGTGTGCACCTGAGTTTTTCTTTAATCCAAGAGCTGGTTTTCTAATCATTTGAAATTTTCATGCTGGTTGTGGCCCAGCCTTTCTACTTTTTTTGTGATATTTTTAGATTTTTCTTCTGAAATCCATTTTATTAACTGTTCTGCTCTTGGACGCCATGTGGTACCCCATGCCTGTCCTCCAAGAAGGCCTTAATTCTCAAAAATATTCTTAGATGATGACAAAAGTTAATTATTAATAGAAAGAAGTGGCTAAAACTGAGAATCAGAAAGATGTATGCTCATTTAAAGTCCTTTTCTATAACCTTAAGTCAAATAAATATATTTTATGCCCTTATTTTAGGCACACATTACAAACTCTTTCCTGGGTTCTGCCAAGTTAAGTTTTTTTTTTTTTTACATTTTCCCTATACCCCTCTCTGAGATTTCTAGATTTATTTCTTTAAAGACCCTCATGAAGCAAGCAGAATGCACAATTGCTAGATTTTTACATGGGTTCTCAGTGTTCTGGCAGTTGTCATACCTATTCGGACAGCAGTGCTCTTAGTAACTGCTCAAAGCATTGGATTTGTGTTCTAAGGAAGTGGCTCCATTTTTCTGTTCATATTTATTGGTTTATGTATAATGGTAATAACCAAGTACAACAGGGTTTGGAAAAACTACACCAAATTTTGTAAGCACCATGACCCTCTTAGTGAAAGTGAGCAGAGGGCACCAGAGAGTAGCCCGTGGGTCATGAACACAGGCTGTAGGTGCTAAGGGGCACAGAGGGATTGGAAATATCAGCAAACCCCCAGACCCATCAGTGGAGATTAGCTAAGGGAGGTTCTAGAGCAGAAGTCCTCTCAAACTCCAACATATGGTTTCAGATGGTCTTCTCAGACACAGATGATTAAGCCAGGAGCATTGGTTGGGGCCAGAAATTTCATTTGTATTTTTAGCACTAGTGACACTAGTTCTGCTACCCAGGGAGCACACTGGGAAAGCCCTGAGCTACAGCCAACCATGATAGCGCCTAGGGGGATGGGGCCCTTCAAACTACTTGTGCATCATACCATAATCAGACAGTAGGTCTTCCATTGTGCTTGGCAGTGTATGATGTTTGTGTATGTGTACACATGTGTGTGTTTGTGTGTGTGTGTGTGTGCACGTGCACGTGTGAGAGAGAGAAAGAGAGAGGGAGAGAGAGAAACTCAGGAGAAGATTGAGACCTTTTAAAGTCTTCATGTTCAGTCTCCTTGACTTTCGGGGAAAAGGTAAACTACTAGTTAACTCTTTCAACCTAGCACATTGCTTGAAAACCACGAGTCCCAGGCTATTCACAAACAAAAGCAAACAAAGCAGAAAACTTATTATTTTTCTTTATTAAGAACTTTTTTTGAATATATTTATTCTCTTTAAATAGTTGCACAAGTAGTTGCCATTCACCAAAGCAGTTTATGAACATGGTGTATCTTGATCAATGTCGTCCCTTTCCACATTCTTACCCACCCCTCCTAACCTACCCCTTCTCTTAATTTTAGGGTATGTATTGAATATTTTGTCATTTAACAGAGCAAGTTATGCGTACAATGCATCTTGATCTGTGTCATCACTTCAACATCTTCACCCCCTTTGACCCACCCCTTCCCTTCCATTTCTCAATTCTGCAGCATATACAATGAATTCACTGTGTGTCAGAAAGCACCTTTGGCAATTGCTCACAGCTGCAGGTTGGAGAGGTGGCAGTGTGGACATGTTGTCAACACTGTTTGAGGACGGGGCAGGTCACATGACTGCTCTGCCTCCCTCTCAGAACTGGGGCCATGTCATCTGACTGCTCTGTCTCACTCCTAGAACTGGCTGACGGAGCTGGAGATCTTTGCCATCATCTTCTCAGCTGCCATCCATGACTATGAACACACGGGCACCACCAACAATTTCCACATTCAGACTCGGTGAGCCTGGGACATGTTTGGAGAGAAGCAAAACATGGCAGGGCAAGTGTTTCAGAAGTCAGCGAGCTGTGCTTTTGACAGCTTTCTTTGGCATGGCGGCTGTGAGTTGCAGAAGAAGGGTCTGGTCAGCTTCAGTCAGTGGCTAGGGTTGAAGCAGCCACCGGTTCCTAGTTCTTATTTTATTCAGATCCAATGGGGACCAGTTTCTCTTCTACTATAGTGCTTTATTTATGGGGTGCTCTGCCTATTTCTATTATGTGGTGGGGAGTTTGTATAGAGACGATGTGAACTAAAGCAATAAGGACAGGTGGTGGTTTGTGGGGCTTGGGTTGACATGATAACAGTCTTCATGCTCTCCAGTCTCTGGGGTTCTGGTAAGGTCGTCTTCTCTTTCTGGTGATCACTACTCAGAAAACTAAGTGTGCGATCAGGTCTGTTAAATGATAAGTAAATCTAACACTTTCAAGGTTGGCTAGATCCACCCCAAAGCTTGGCCAGGGACAGGTGGATGCCATCTTGGAGTGGCCTGCTCTGGGAAGACCTCACCTTCCCCTCACCCTGATATATGGCCACTGCAAGGCTCCAAGAAGATACCTCTCATCTCCTGATTCAGCTTCTTCCATGGGACATAAAGGGCCTGTAAGAACTGAAGTTTTCATTAAGTTAAAGGTGCTATAATAATATACAGCCCTGTGTTTGGTGAGAGAGAACAGTCAGAAAGTAGCTGCTTCTTACTTTCAACTGAGATCCTGTGTCTTTCCTGTGGAAAATATTAGCATCAGGCTTCTACTAGAGGTGGCTCACAGACAGCGAACAGATCCATACCATCACATCCATTGAATTAACTATGAAGGAAAAGGAAAATCATTCCAGAAAGTAAAAGGATGTTTGACATTATCCACATTAAGAAAGATGCCCAATAAACACTAGATGCCACTAGTGAAGTTGATTGAGTCTAGTTATGAAATAGTTCAGTGCAGAGCTGTTGGGCTGAATGTCACAGGCTTCCTGCCCATGAGTGGGTTGTAGAATGTTGCTTGGTGTGGATGGATAACTTGTAGTGTTTGTTTAGCTTTCAGTTGCTTCCACTTACATGGGCAAATAATCGCTTCTAAACATAGAGCGAGTGATGGTGCCTCCCAGCCTGTACATGCTAGCTGAGCAGGCCTCAGTGGTCCCCTTCCTCATTGATTGTGTGTGGCTTTCTGTTCAGGTCAGATCCAGCCATTCTCTACAACGACAGATCAGTACTGGAAAATCACCACTTAAGTGCAGCCTACCGGCTTCTGCAAGAAGATGAAGAGATGAATATTTTGATCAACCTCTCAAAGGATGACTGGAGGTGAGGCTAAGGGGGAGAGACTGGAAAGTCAGGGTGAGAACTGTGGAGATGAATGCTGAAACTAGACCCTGCTTAAAATTTTATTTGTCTTCTCTTTCTGTCTCTGCCTCTTTCCCCTGCTTCTCTCCATCTGCGTGCAGTTCATTCTTATTTCTCTAAACTTTTTTCTTGACACAGATGTTCAAATGTTTATCAGTAAAGGCTATAGAGTATTATGCTCAAGGTCCACCTGTTATTTCATCATCTTTCTGCTTTTGTATCAATGGATTGGGAAATGGAACCAGTTTGGGTCAAATAATTCTATATTATGCTAGAGATTCTTGTGGAAGAAAATTTGACAGTATTGTCCCAATAGTGTCCAAACAAGGACACTGTGAATATTTATTATTATCTTTAAAAACTTGTGTTACTTTTAGGTGAGCTCCATACATGTGAATTTTTATCATTTATTATTTGGAAAAACACCTTATTGTTGATTTGGGTTTTTAAATAATCTTTAAATTTTTTTCTATGGGAATTATTTAGATTGTGGACTACTGGGCAGAAGCAGGAGGATCCTGAGTTTGAGACTAGCTTGGACAAAATTAGCAAGACTCCATCTAGAAGACAAAATATAAAATACCAATAAAATGGCTAAGGGTATGGCTCAACCAAAAGAGTGCTTGCCCTGGGTCCATGCTCAGTAGTGCAACCTCCCTCATCAGAAAAAAGTATTTATTCCTGTTTCCTAAATTATGCTATGACCTTGGATTTAAGCATGCCCGAGTTTGAGTACAGACAGAATTACTCACTAGTTGTGAGAGGCTGGGAGCATTATTCAATCTCTTCATTAATGGTGAACAGTTAGCAAATAGACAATACCACAACTCAGGACTGGTTAAGGATTACAATGACATTATTCCCTTAAAATGCACACTTTGTGGGATATTCAAGCAATTTTGCAAGTCACTGCAGTTATAAGCATAGGTCAAAGTGTTTCAAAGCTTGTAGATAAACAGCTAAATCCTTCAGAAGTTCTGTCTTTGTTGTGGCTTAACGCATGCTTACATTTTCATTGAACAGACACTGTTCATTGAATGAGTATATTTTTGCCTGCCACTCTGCAAGGATCCAGACAAATAAGCCATACAAGGAATGCAAACAATGGATCCAAGGCAGGAGGTATGAGAGTTTTAGGTCAGCCTGGAATATATAGTGAAACTCTGTCTTCACCCAAAACAAGCCAGAGGGAGTCCTTAGTTTCAGCTTTATTAGACTGCAATGGACTTGGCCATCATCTTCAAAGGGTAGAGCTCAATAATTACTCAGTGCACATCTTCAGCAAAACCCAAAGCTTTCCATCCAGTGTCCAGGGTTATAAGTGAATGAAAGGTTTGAGCTGGCAGGAGGTAGCTTCACAGGACTGGTGTGGGGACACATGCTCTTGGTCTCCAAGGCCCAGCCCCTGGCTTCTTAGAATAAAGTGCAGACAGGCCACAGGCCCTTTTCTTTATTTTTGTTTGGGATTTTCTACCTCTATTGAGCCAGTCCCGGAACCTCTTTCAGCCCACAGCTATGGCAGAGAGCTAGTCCTGTGCAGGCTGTGCCTAACCCACCACTTATTTTGGGTAAAAGTGGCAAGAAATAAACTAATTTCTGTATTTATTTATTTATCATTTTAACTTCCATCCTGTTTTCTCTCTGGGTGTCCCTAAAGGGAGTTTCGGACCTTGGTTATTGAGATGGTGATGGCCACGGATATGTCTTGTCATTTCCAACAAATCAAAGCAATGAAGACGGCCTTGCAGCAGCCAGAAGCGTGAGTAAGCTGTGGCATGTCCCTGGGACTAGAGAATGCACTAGGTGTCCGCATGGAATGTGTCCATATCCTGGCTGTGGTGTGGTGTGTTCTGGGGACACGGAGCATCTTTCTAGGTGTCTGCACTAGAATGTGTCCACGCTCCAGCCTGTGTCCTTCACAGTAACTGTGCTGAGTGGGCTTCACGTGTTATATTGGTAGGCAAGAGCCTGGTGTACATGCCTCACAGTTGCACTCATCAGGGTTGCAGTCAATGATGGGGCTGGTGATGGTTTGCTCCAAGTAGAATCATTTCCTGTGGGAAGCTAAATAATCAAAGATTCCCTGGATGCAGAGGTAACAGATCAATGAGTGACTCTTGTATCCAAGTTGCTTTCTGGAAAGGTGAGTTGAAGTGAGATGTTTCTAGTTCAGTGATCTCAGAGACCCAGAGGGTGATATCCTAGTCGGAGGATGGCTCCACAGAGGTTGGACTGAGGGCGGAGAATGGGAGGGGTATGAGGTGAATGACAGCCTTAATGAGCTCTGCTGAGTGAGTCTCCTGTGCTGTCTGTGCTCTGGGCTCACAGGATTGAAAAGCCAAAAGCTTTGTCCCTGATGTTGCACACAGCCGACATCAGCCACCCTGCCAAGGCCTGGGACCTACACCACCGCTGGACCATGTCGCTGCTGGAGGAGTTCTTCAGACAGGTACCATCTCTGCACTGGCCATCTCTGTGCTGTCCTCAGCACCAGCCTGGAACAGCTGAATGATCTGTTTTATCCCAGGTCCTTGGGGGAATGAAGGTTTCACAGCTTCTAATGCTTCCTGGCTATCAGTGTTTGAATCTTACCTAAATTCTGGCTCATGGGATATGACCTGAAGCATTTCATGCATTTCTAGCCTATGCATTTCTGTTCCACAGTCTTCTCAAAATGCCATTTGAGGAGTCTCTTTTCCCCTAGTTGGTTTATAGAATGGTGTTTATTTGGCCTTCATCATGTAGGATTCAGTTGTTAATCTCTGTATCGTGTTTCTGTTATAATTTGTCGGGTTGTTTCTTCCCAGTGAACAAGTCTGTGATATGAAATTCCAAAACTCAGTGGCAAATAAGGGCCATGAAATCACTTAACTACCAGTACTTTAAGATCCAGAGTTTTGCTGTCTGTAACAATAGTCTCAGTGGGGTGCTGGTGGCTCATACCTGTAATCCTAGCTAGCTACTCAAGAGACTGAGATCTGGGAATCAAGGTTTATATCTCATGGACAGGAAAGTCCCTGAGATTCTTTTTTTTTTTTTTTTTCCTTTGGGTCTGGTCGTGGTGCCTGAACTCTGGGCCTGGGCGCTGTTCCTCAGCTCTTCAGCTCAAGGCTAACGCTCTACCACTTGAGCCACAGTGCCACTTCCAGCATTTTTTTTAATGTGGTGCTGAGGAATCGAACCCAGGGCCTCAGGCATGCAAGGCAAGCGCTCTGCCACTGAGCTACCTTCCCAGCCCCCAGAGCCACCTTCCCAGCCCTATCCCTGAGATTCTTATCTTCAATTAACCACCAGAAAGCTGGAAGTGGAAATGTGGCTCAAATGGCAGAGTGCTAGCCCTGAGCAAAAAAGCTCAGGCCCTGAGTTCAAGCCCTAGGACCAGAACACACACACACACACACACACACACACACACACACAGACAAACGCACACAGAGAGACACACACATGTCTCTATGGAGCATATATTGCTTTAAAACAAGTAAGTGGCTCTGACAAAACACTCCCATCAGGTCCTTATAAATACAGATATGTTTAGATCATGGTTTGGGGTGTGGGAAGTCCTAGAGTGCAAAGCTAGCATGGAGTGTGACAACATGGAACAGGTGTGTTAGCTTGAGCTCCCAGGATACCGTGAGAGCCCCCCTGTGACCTCATCTAGCCCCAGACACCCCCAAATACCATTAACACCAAGCTTTGGGGATTAAAGTCCTGAGAGTGATATTTGAACTTAGTCCAGCCGTAGCACACTGCTACTTTGATTCTTGGAAGCAAATTACCTTCGTGATTACTCTTACTCTTATGATTCTTGTTTAAGTAGGAAACAATAGAAGGTATATGTGCTTGCATTCATGCATGTATATGATTACGCTTGTATTCTCTCAGATGCACTCCTGAGTTATCAAGCACACTCATACACATATATGCACACACACACATTTATGTATATTCATGTTCCCTTCTCTCTGGTGAGACTAGAATTAAGAACATCCTAAAGATTAGCTACCAGGAGGCTGAGATCCAGAGAATCATGATTCAAAGCCAGTCAGGGTAAAAATATCTGAGAGAGACTGGGAATGTGGCTTAGTGGTAGAGTGCTTGTCAAGCATGCATGAGGCCCTGGGTTCGATTCCTTAGTACCACATAAACAGAAAAAGCCAGAAGTGGTGCTGTGGCTCAAGTGGTAGAGTGCTAGCTTTGAGCAAAAGAAGCTCAGAGACAGGCCCAGGCTCTGAGTTCAAGCGCCAGGACTGGCAAAAAAAAAAGTCTGAGAGAGTCAGTCTCCAAATAATCAGCAAAAAGCAGGGCTGAAGGTGTAGCATCAGCCATGCAAGCAAGCTGAGCAAGCATGAGACCCTGAGTTCAAAATCTAGTGCTACCTACACCCAGAGAGAGAGAGAGAGAGACAGACAGAGACAGAGAGACAGAGACAGAGAGACAGAGACAGAGAGACAGAGACAGAGAGACAGAGACAGAGAGACAGAGACAGAGACAGAGAGACAGAGACAGAGACAGAGAGACACACAGAGACAGAGAGAGACAGAGACAGAGAGAACTAGGGTAGGGAGAGGGAGAGAGGAGAGAGAAAGAGAAGGAAGAAGAGAGAGGGAAGAAAGGAATGAGGGAATGAGAGAGAGAAAAAGAGGGAAAGGGGAAGGGGGAGGGAGGGAGAGAAAGGGACAGAGCTGGAGAGGGAAGCCTTCAGTTTCTGGGCCTGACTTGGTTTCACATTATTGTTCTCTTACATGTACTCCCAAGTTATCAAGCATTGGTTACAATCAGAGTGTGTTCAGTGCAACAACTTCACTAAGTATTTTTTAAACCTGGAACTTAAATATCATAGGTTTCTATTGGGAAACAATATTCTTTTTCAATCGTTTTTGAAAATGTACTATCATTTCATTCTCATTATAACCCCGTGATGTTGGAATTATTCTACACTGAACTTTAATCTTTCAGTGTCCACACATCTCTGGGGTCCAAGGCAGGATTCAAGCAGCAGTTAGTAGCTGCTCTCCTGAGTGGGTTTTCCAGGTGTGATTTGAGAGCTGAATCCGCTAGGAGAGGAGAGACGTTGTCTCCCTCCTTCTGGTGATGACTATTGAGTATTTGGGTCACGTTCTGATAAGCCACCCCATTGAGTTAGACTTTACATATCATTGCATTGCAGCCATGCTTCTGCTGAGCTGGGGTCCTGTCAGCCATGTTTTGTATGATTTGATAGCCCCTCATCTATTCTGGTTCTTTCTAGTCCATTTTTATGGACGAAACTGGCCCATTGGACTAGACTAGTCCATTCTCTTGGTCCATCAGTCCAGTTTGAGTTGTAGCTTCAGTCCCTGCCCACAGCCAGGAAGGGCACAGTGGTTGGTGAGGGGGACACAGGAAAACATGGGCAGCGGCCTTTGTGGCTGTAGCTGCCGCGGTAGCAGCTCCAGGTCTCAGGACAGTTGCCCTGCTGCCTCATTTTCCCTGGGGAGCCCCCTGCTGCCCACTGAGGCTTTCTTGAAGACAGCATGAGCCTTTGTGGTGGAATGGGAAAGACTGGAACCCATTGAGCTTGGCCTCCTGGCATCCTTTGTACAGAGGAAAAAGCCCCATGAAGACACATTACATCATGTAATTGTAATAATTAAAGACCAGTGGCATAAGTGGCAGTTGAAGCCGCTAAAGAAAATCTGGGCAGCCTCATCTTCTGTCCCTTAATTTACTATGATCTCCTGTGTTTCTAGGGTGACCGAGAAGCGGAGTTGGGGTTGCCCTTTTCTCCTCTATGTGACCGGAAGTCCACTATGGTTGCCCAGTCCCAAGTAGGTAGGTGCTGGCTGCTTGGGGAGAGGGAGCAGCTGGCCAAGGCCTGACCGGCCATGGCCGCTCCGGGTGCCCACTGCCAGTGCCCTGCTGCTCTGCCGGGTAGCATTGTGCAGGACTCTGGCTGCATGGTGGAGCTAGGGCAGCCTCTACTCTAGGTGTGGTTGGATTCTGGCAACCTTAGGCAGTGACACTGTTGTGTTTCTCTACCAAGAGAAAAATGGGGCTTCAACTTCCCCAGGAGATAGTGAGTGCCATTGTACAGAAGCTGTTCTGCATGCAGCCTAGGAGGTCCAAGTCCCGCTTCTCCTATGTGATCCTCCTTCTAGGCCTGAGTTCAGGGCAGGCCGATCTTCTAAAGCACCCAAAGGGGGCTCTTTTAACCCCCCCTTCCTCACTTCTTCCTTCCCTTATCTCCCTTCTTCCTCCTCTTCATCTTTCCAGCTCTCCTCTCCTATATTCCTTTACTTTTGGTTTTAGAAGAATGTTTTTCATTGTTGTTGGTAATGATAACTTTTGTACTGCAAATCAGTATAATACATGCATTATAAAATTCTTCAGCCATGGGAGAGGGTACCAGTCTACCAACTGTCATCAGGGATCTCTACCTGCAGAGAGTCTGAAAGCACTCAGAAAGAGTCTGAACGCACTCAGAAAACAAATTGAATACTAATTTGTTGACTTTCCTGCTTGTACTTTGAGTACTTCTTTATATTTTTTGTACAATGCATCGTGTGCCCCTGTTAGGTGCCGGGCACTGCCTAGGCATTGTGATATTTTAAACACAAAGTGCACTTAGTAGTTTCTTAAGACATGAAGACATTGTTGGGTGGTGGACAAGATGCAATGTACACAAAAATCCAACATGGATGCAATTTTCCAGCAAGACATTTTCATCCTTGCTGTCCTGCTCACTTCTTTTCTGTCTATTGTGATCCAGGAACTTTCTAACAGAACATTTAAAAGTCACAGGACATTCCAAATATCTTCAGAGGCTTTTAATATTCCTCTAAGTCCCAGCCTCTAAGAGTCCTCCCTCCCCTGAGCTCCAGGCAGCAGCCTTTCTGAGCTTTCCTCACCCAAGCCTGAATGAACCCCTTACCACATTTACCTCTCACCCTCTTTTCCATCTTGTGCCCCCACTGTTCCCCCCAGAATAAGGGGCATGTGTTCTTCCCACCAGTGTTCAACCTCCACGAAGGTGTCCCAAGCCTTCTGGGGTGAGAATTGCCCCCCTTCCCTCCCCAGGGATCTTCATCTGACTTCTGTGTCCTGTGTATAATCTGGGGTTATGTTGCTCTCACTCTCCTGGGAGGCAGGGGACAAGATGGGTTTTATGGTCTGTCTTTTTGGGATCACCCGCTGGAGCAATGGAAGAGACTTCTGACATTCAGATCCCAGAATCTCTGGATTCCCTGCGCAGGAAGAGAAGCCATGTGGGTTTGCATGGGGGCTATACCTGCTTGCTCTGCTGAGGTGTGGCTGCTTCTCTGTAGGTTTTATAGATTTCATTGTGGAGCCCACCTTCACTGTGCTCACCGACATGACGGAAAAGATTGTGAGTCCCTTCATCGATGAGACCTCCCAAACCGGTGGGACAGGACAGAGGCGTTCCAGGTCAGTGGGGATGTGGGGACCTGGTGTGGGTCTTTCTGGGTGGACAGAGTCTCCTGTGGGTGTGGCTTTGTGGTGATTGCCTTATTGCCTCTCTTCTGGCTGCCTTGGTCCACCATCCCATTTCTGCAGTTGTACTGTGATGGCAGCTCTCTTCCACATCCATACAAAGCTTTGAACTTGGCCATCAGTGAGGGAGAGCATGGAAGGAATGGGAAGAGGAGGGAAAGGACCAGTCAGGAGGAAGGGAAGGCAGGAGAAGTGTAAAAACAGCAGGCCTCTGTGGATGCTCAAGATGGGCACACTGCATTGTTTTCTTAGAGACGGTGGAGACTCTCCTGTTCTTGTCCCCACAGTTGCACAGATTTTTGAGGACTGACTCTCTTATCTAGTCAGTTTTTAGGGGAGTAGAACCCATTTAAAGCAAGATCTTTGCATGTCATGTCTCCCACAATCTCATTTCTCTTGGACTTAAGGAACCAGAGACAGAGGGATTGTGGGTGCAGGGAGGGAGGGTAGAACTGGAGAGAAGGAGGACAAAACCACTGGTTAGCTTGGGGAAATGCTTGGTTTGGAGGCAGGCACACTGTGAAACACATAGGAGTCCACATTCAGTGATGTTACTGGGTCCTAGCTACTAAGAAAGAGGACCCATGAGGAACATTGACAATTTAGATGGTGTAATGTTAATATCATTTCCCTCCCCTCCCTGGAAACTTTAGACTTTCCCTGCTGTCATGTTTAGGAAATAGGATAATTACAAACCTTGAGTCGCAGGAATTGCATGCCCACATGTAGTTTGTCTGATCACTCCTCTCGTAGCTCACTCATTTGCACTCTTCTCTTTGGTTTGGTCTTCATTTTCTTCTCTGCAGTCTGAACAACATCAACTCCTCAGATGCAAAGCGTTCAGGTGTCAAGAGCTCTGGGTCAGAAGGAAGTGCCCCCATTAACAATTCCGTCATCCCTGTGGACTACAAGAGCTTCAAGGCCACCTGGACAGAGGTGGTGCATATCAACCGGGAGAGGTGGAGGGCCAAGGTGCCCAAAGGTAATGAGGGGGGAGAGAGACCCATCCAGGAGGCTGGTCCATGGGGCAAGGGAGACTTGCCTCGGAGACTCATCTGTGGGGTGAGGGAAAACTGTCCAGGGGTTTTATCCACTCCTTAAAGCACAGGCTTATCATCCCTCATTTATGGGTATTGCAAATCAGATGGCAATTTCAGGCTATGACATTGCAGATAAGAAGGGTTCATCATTATAGCTAGCACTCAGTGAATGATAGAACATACCAACCCCCCAGCATCATGTCCTCTTATGTGATGTGATTCAACCCCGCATGAAAATTCTATGAGTGAGACCAGCATGTTTCATTCTTACTTCATGTCATGTGGCTAAATGTAAGACATCATTCCTTCTTTTACCTAAGTAAAGTCCAGCCAGCCAGTGACCACCTGGGTTATTACATTGGGATGTGAAGAATCGAATGGGTCTTATCCTCATTTCACATGTTCACATGTTCCTTCAACAGTGGTCAGCTTTTGCTAACCTCTATTGAGTGTCCACTGCCTCCTAGGCTCCATGCCCAGAGCCCAGGGTAGAGAAATAAGTAATTTGCATCCTCATCCTCCCAGTTCATAGATGGAAAGAGGAGACATTATCACGTATTTCATGTAAAAGGAGTCACTAACCCCTGACAGCCCTGAGCTCTGGACCCTTGGGCAGGATGAGGAGAGCTTTGAACCCAGTCACAGCACCTGTACTTGTGTTTTGTTTATGCTGGTGCAACACATGGCAAGAAAGTAGGATAGTGGGTGTCTTAGTTCATTTTATGTCTCAATAATAAAACCACATGATTAACAGAGAATAGACGCTTATTTGCCTCAAATTTCTGGGCTACAGGAATTCTAGAAGCATGGGCCTGACATCTGGAGAGCTTGGTGGAGGGTGCCATGTGGCAAGACAGAGCTAGTGGATAACTTGAGTCTCTTCCTATAAAGCCACTGATGCTATCACAGAGGGCTGCCCCTATGAAACTATAGCAGTGGAAGACCATAGGTAGTCTTGGCCACCATTGGGAGCAAGGAGTCTGCCTCTGGGCCCCTCATTGAGAGGGGACCTTTGGAATCGGAGGGAATCAGACTCAGGTGGGATTTGCTTGTACTTTGACTGGCCCCAGAATCCTGCTCAAGCAGCTGCTTGTTTTATGTAAAGGCTTTAGATGTATGGGGCTTTTAGGACAGAAGTGGCCCCTTATCACTTTGGGACAGGTATTGGCTTTGTGCTATGATGGGAGCCAACATTCTTTCCTATTTTAAGCACAGCCTTTCAGAGTCCATTCACTGCTTTCAGCATGGAAGCCTTTCCTGTTGGCAGGCACTGTAGGCAGCCATGGCTGCTGCTGCATCCTCTCAAAAGAAGTATGCTCTCCTAATCAATTGCACTCATTACACTTGAAAACCCAGGTCCTGACAACACACAGTTTAAAGAGGTGCTCGAGAATCATTTGTTTGCAATGATCCAGCGTACTAAAATTACCCTTGGAAGCTAATCAACCAGGGAAGCATTCGAAGGTTCCTTTCCTTTCCCAACAGAAAGCCAGCCCTTTGCAAAGGACAGATAAACAGCTCAGAATTTACAATGTGTGAGGTATGCAGGAAGAGCTTCACGAAATCTAGTTTTCCAGCATGAAAGGGTTTGTCTGTCCCTAATGCTGGTTGGGCTCTTTGGGAAGGTGTGAAGAAGCCAGGACTTGGGGTTGATCTGAAGATGGAGAAAGGAGATGGGCCAAGGTGCAGAGCTTGGGTTATAGTGTTTTGTGCGAGGGTATTTTGGTTCTTGAGACAAATTCTAGCTAATGGGGAAAGGAAGAAATGAAATCCAAGGTATCTTTGAGGCTCTTTGTGACTTAATTGTGGGGATGATAATGCACATAAGAGAATGGATGTAAAGAGCAGACGTAATGTACACAAATCATTAGAACCCAGGTTAGTGCATATTAAATAGTATAATGTACACAAATCACCAGATAAATGGTAAATGGGAGTTGCTGTTTAAACACATGAGAAAAGAAAGAGCCATTATGAAGCAAAGTTAAGGTCCTGGTAGTAAAAGCACCAATAGAAAACTCACACTTTAGAACATGTTATGGTTGACTGATGGTAAGGAGAAATCAAATTACAATCATCTTTCTGTGGGTGGTCACTTTCCCTAGATGACTTCATACCAGTTTTCTATTTAACTCTGTGTTGGGAAGACTCATGAGGGAATCTGCTATGTCCTCACCAATCCTTCATCTGCTTTCTGTGAGCCTTGTCATAACGGGTCACATCAACATGAATAGTCTAAAATGGGGAGCAAAAGGAAATAGGCCATGAAGTTTGTGGTCTGCTAGACTCAAAGCTGTATGAATGTCAAGATGTTGAATCCAACACCTGAAAAGTGAATTCACCATGTGTATGCCACCAGGAGATTGGCCATATATAAATTAGAGTGCCTTCGCCTATTTTTTCATCATATGACAATTTTATCACTACTAATAATTTCACCATGAGAATATAAAGGAATGTGATTGTAATGGGGAAACAAAACTCTACCTTCTATGGGCATATTTTCTTCTCTCTTACATTTGATGTTGCTCATTTTGCACATTCATTTCATTTAGGTTAATTTTGATTAGTACCCTTTGGCTGATTATACTGATATTAGCCATTTCAGATCCAAGCCAGAATTAGAAATTTAGAGCAAGCAGAGCCACTCGCCTGGACGTGGTTGCTGCTGAGAACAAAATCGCAGTGGTGCAGGCTCATGTGATTTGATCATGATGTCACCAAGGCACCATGCATTAATCTAAATATTAACTGTCATTGTATGTAGTTGCCCTTGGACAAAAACAGATTGGGTACTGAAATGCATTTCTTCTAAGGTGATTTATTTTTACATTTTCCATGGGAAATTGGTCTGACTGAGTTGTCACATGAATTTTTCTTGCTTGGGTACTATTTTATGGTCCTTTGTAGCCAACCAGGATTTAATGCCTTCAGTTTTTATCAAGATCATTTTCAACACAGATATTTTGAACGTTGAACGATGGCCATGGATTCAGTGGGGGAGGACTATAAATGATTTCTCCTGAAAATGAGCTCTGAGTATAATGAATTTGCCTTGCCTTGCCTCAGTTTCCCTCTCTGTATAGAACAAACAGTCATCTTTTTATTCACTTATATTAGAGGTTAAGGAAACTGATGTTTGTTAAACAACTCTCTCAGACTGGGTTCTGAGAGTGTGTATATGTGCTTTTGTTTTATGCTAATGAATGGTGTTGAAAGTGAAATATGTATAAACAAGGCTACACTGGCAGATGGTATAAATCACACACATGGGGTGTGTTACCCTGAATACACAAATACTTCAGGAGGATATGTTGTGTGCCAGGTGCTGCACCAAGCAGGGATAAGATGGCACATGAGCCCTATCCTAGGGCACTGAAGAAAGAGCAGAGGGAGCCGGGCAGAAGATGGCATTCATTCTGCAAGAACATTCTTTCGCTTTTTAGCTGTCCATGTCTACAGAAATTAGGAGACTATTATACTGCAGATGGACATGATAAATTTATTTATAAAGAAATATTCCCATGTTAGTGGAAATAATAAATGCAACTTGTTGGAAAGTAGTGTCATGAAACACTGAAAAGCAAATATTCCAACTTTCAATCAGAGCTTCTCAATCTTTATTGCACGGAGAAAACATTAAAAATAGCCTATCCTTGCTCCTCTTCCTTCAGAATCTGCTTTAATTTGTATAGTGGGAGGTGAAGTCACTGATCTGGAGGGAGGAGTAGATGGGAGGGTGGATGGATGGATGGCTAATCTGATGGATCAATAGAAGAATGGGTGAAAATGCCATCACACATTAAAGAGGACATCTGAGGAAAGGGAATGGCATAGGAAAATAAAGTCAGACATCATGAACATATACCATAAGCATCCTGAACCATGAACCTAGACCTTCTATGGATTATGGGCTGACAGCAGGTAGAATGAAAATTAGCATGTCCGGATGCACAAATACAGTCATATGTGAGGGGAAGAAAAAGGGCTCTCAAAAATGACCTGTAGGGCAACGTCAACACACGTGGAGACAAATGCAGTGATGCTTTCCAGGTGGAGGTTGTAGAACAATCTGGAAGGCCTTGGAAGTATGCCGGATGCTGCCTGGCTCTGTAGGCCATAACGTAGGACTCGGCCTTGTCAGGGACCAGACATGCATCACCTGAAACAGGCCTGTCCGTGGACACTGACCAGACCATCTAGTCCTGACCCCTGGCCGAATCTGCTTTTGCAAAAGAGTGATTTTTGAGTAACTTATATTTTGAATTAACCAAAGAAATATACCCCCCCCCAAATTTAGTAAATACCTTAGGCCATTTTTGTGTATTAATTGATATTTTCCTCCAAAGAGGCAACTCTCCTAATGTCCTCTTTGTCTCCTTTCTTCTGTCTTCTTTCCCTGCTTTCACTAACTTGCTGGGGATACAGAGGAGAAGGCCAAGAAGGAAGCAGAGGAGAAGGCTCTCCTGGCCGCCGAGGAGAAGCAGAAGGAAATGGAAGCCAGAAGCCAGGCTGAAGAAGGTGCTGCCAACAAAACAGAGAAGAAGACTTCAGAAGCCAAGAGTCAAGGCAATGGCACCCGTCCCAACAAAGGTGACCAGCCTCGTGGGAAGAACCCCAAAGGTGACAAGGCCTCTGGAGGAAAGCAGCCGAATGGTGAGGAGGGACGGGCTCATCTGTGTCTTTCTGTCCTTCTCTATGGGAGAATTTGCCCCTTCCTGACCACCAGGTGTAGTTACTGCTCACACCACCAGCACAGTCCTGAGGGCTTTGCTGGCCTAGGTGTGATGGAAGGACACACACACCCAGCAGCCAGACTGCAGGGGTGTGCGTCCCCTTCCCCTTCAGCATGCAGGTTGCACACAATATGGTGAATCAGATATATTGGCTTGCCTATAGCTGAGGATTTCCTAGGATATAAGGCTCTCAGTTTTAAAACCAAAGGGAGAGAGCCACCATAACTCTTGTCATCGATCATTTCTTATGTTGAATGCACTAAATACTTACTCATTAGCAACTATATTAAGTGCTATTCTAGGCACGAGTGCCTTAGCAACAGAAATGTCATTGGAAACCCATGATGTCATCGGGATATGGTGAAATACTGGTGGAATGTGGGCAAGGGGTCATAGGAGCATGGCAGATAAAATGCCCAATAATCATATACAAAGAACAAGGCACCAGCTTTGTTGGGGGCTGAAGGTGGGGGTGAATTATCAGGGAAATCCTCAAGAGGAAGAAGAGTCTGAACCAGGTTGTTTCTTTTTTGTTGTTGTTCGTGTGTGTGTGTGTGTGTGTGTGTGTGTGAGAGAGAGAGAGAGAGAGAGTATGTTGTAGGGCTTGAACTCAGGGCCTGGGTGCTGTCCTTGAGCTCTTTTGCTCTAGGCTAGTGCTGTACCACTTTGAGCCACAGCTCCACTTCTGGATTTCTAGCAGTTAATTGGAGATGAGAATCCCAAGGGCTTTCCTGCCCAGGCTGGCTTTGAACCTTGATGCTCAGATCTCAACCTCCTGAGTAGCTAGGATTACAGGAGTGAGCCACTTGTGCCCCGCCTCTGTGCTAGGTTTTGAAGATTGTAGTTTGAAGCAGCAGTTTGCTGCTCAGGTGGGAGTGGGGCTTCCCACTGGGTCCTGGGTGTGCTTCCTGTGCTTAGGGAAGGTTTGCAAGTTCAGAGTCTCCACCATTCGCTTGTGTCAGGTAAGCCAGGCAGCATAGTAGCCAAAGTCCATAGTCTGCCTCCTCTAGGCTGGCTTTGTCTGGATGACTTAAGCTTTCTCTGTGTCTGCAAAATACACAAAACATCATTCATAACACAGACCTCTGTGAGCCTTTGCTAATGATCATGGGAAAAAAATTTCCAAAAAACACACCATCAAACTAAAAGGCAACAGCAACACAGCCCTCACTTCCTGTACCACATGCTGTGTTAAGGCGTCCAATTCTCTTGTCTGCCCAGAAGGACCAGGTATTTTCCTCTGGTTCTAGATGTTATGCTACAGGTCTGGGGAACGAACAGGCAGAAAGTGTATAGAGTAACATACACATGAGTATAATTGGGTAATGATGTTTGTAATACGCCTGTAAAAGTAACCCATAACACATTCCAGAAATGTACATAAACACTCTTACATGATCTTTCTAAGAGACAAGGAAGGCCATTGCCCCAACCAGTCTGGTTCTGGAGACTTCTCGCAATGAATGTGCAATATTCACGTGAGCACAGTTTGGAAACATAAAGATTTGGTCCAGCTAGAATACAGGGTGCCCTAGTTGAGGTTTTGCCTGCCTTCTCTCTCTTTTTTGAGATCAAATTGACCAACTTCCCTGTTGGTTCATAAGCCCAGGGATGAAGCATCAGCCCAGCTCCAGCTGGAGCTGTATCCAGAGCATGAACTCACTGTGCCCAGATCAGGGCTCTCTTTACCATGGTGACCTGAGCTGAGTTTGTGGCCAGACATAAGAAGAGCATTTCCCCTCCCCAGTAAGCACAGGAAAGCTGTGTCTTGTGGAAAACACTTCTCAAAGGGTGGGGGATGGTGGCTGAGTCAAGCTTCACATGCTGGAAAACTCTTAGATAAATCTCCCATTTCAAACAAAGGGACATGAAGTATGAATGAAAACAGTGATGAGAATAACACGACCATTTACTCAGTGTTCAGCATGCCAGAGGTTGTGCTTGTGAATTTCCCTCGACATTAAATTATTTTAAAACCCTAGCAACTCTTATCAGGTAGAGACATTTTTTTCTCCTCTTGCACATGGAGAAAAGGAAGAGATGTGGAGATGTTAAATTACTTGCATAAGCAATCAGCAAGCCCTTACAATGTGCCAGGTCTGACATGGTTGTGGAGGTGGGCATGGAAGGTGGAGAGTTACCTGCTGTCCACAGGAAGCTCATTTTCGATCACAGAAGTTGGCACATGGTTCCTGTAACCAGCCAGAGAGTGGACATTTCTGGCTTTGAAAGCCACAAGGTCTCTATTACAACGATTCGACACTCCCCTAGCCAGAGAAGGGCTAAAAGTGGTACAGGAACCAAGGGCCATAGCTGAATTCCAATATGACGTCATTTATGGAAATCGAAATGTGAATTCTCACTAATGTGTTTGTATCACAAAAGTCTTAACATTCCCCTCAAACCTTTTGGAGATGTAAAAACCATTTTCAGTCCATCGATCACACAGTGGTAGTTGTGCCAGGTTTGACCTGTGGTTTCCCATGATTGGGTCAGTGAGAGTAATCAATGGACGCCAAAAAGCTAGAGAAGGCTGATAAGACAACCGTTTATTTTCAAGATAACTGGGGGCAGGGTTGCACTACACAAATCAGGAGCCCGAGTCTTCAAGGAGGCTGGCTGGATTTGCAACTGTGTTTACTTCCCAAAGTCAGCAGTAGTCCACCATTTCCCTGGAAAATTAAGCCCGAGATGAAAGGTGGGAAAAGAAATCAATTTAGTGCAGTAATAAGTAAGGCTAATGGCAATTGGGGACTTTGATTCAGCAGCCTAATTAAGATGATTTATAACTGCCCAGAAAGTCTCTTGTGTTTCCCCTGTTTATTGAGCAACAGCTCACATTTGCCATTATTCTCTGTGCAGCCCATGGGAAATTACCTAATGGGTTCTGTTCAGGAGCATGGAGCATGCATGTGCCCCTTTCCTGGTGCCCTGCTTCATGGACTGACAAGGCCATCCTTGGAGGCTTGGTCCCTGCTGGGCAATGACAACACCCTCTAATTGGACTTCTGTCTCTATCAGGCAACTTCCTGAGCCTTCCTAGCCCTGGCTGCTAGCATCCTCCAGCAAACCCAACATCTGGGTCGACTTTTGGAAGATGTCTGGTCTTATAAAACTTGGGGTAAATCTGTATTCAGAGCATCCTGAAACTTGGTAGAGGACTTGCAAAGTGTAAAAGCTTATGCAAGGGGGAGGACCGATGTCCTAGGGGACTTAAAGTGTTGACATGACTTGTGATCCTCAAGGCCATCTCTGACTCCATCCACAGGAAAGGCCAGTATTTGAACTGCTCTGAGGGCTTTCCAAAGAAAGACTCCTCTCTAGTTACCAGTGTGATAGAGAGTGAAGGTCAGGTGCTGTATGAAGCCTGAAGATGTATGAAGCCAGAGAGGAAGGCTGGAGAGCTTAAAAGTATATATATACTTTTTAAAATATATATCTATATTTATATATATATATACTTTTTTAATATATATATATATACTTTTATATATACTTACACACACACACACACACACACACACACACACATATAATAGGAAGGATATCATACCCAAAGATGTCCTTGAGTTAGCCTTAGATAACAATTTCTTCATAGATTTCAAGGGCAGTGGGGTTTAGAAATGGGAAGAGTAACTAAAATCTGAAAGGAAAGTAGCCACTGATGGTATACAATGGTGGGCCATGTTGGCCCCTGGGCCATGACTTATTGACCCTTGTGCATGGAGACTATGGCTGTGTTTAATTTCTACTTACTAGTTAATGCCTGTAACTGTGGAGTGAATTTTGTGCCAACTTGGAGATTTTTGACTTGTAGAGAAGATGGCCCAAAGGGTTTCTTTTCGCCCTCTCTCCCTCCCTTCCTCCCTCCCTTCTATACTTCCTTCCTTCCTTCCTTCCTTCCTTCCTTCCTTCCTTCCTTCCTTCCTTCCTTCCTTCCTTCCTTCCTTCCTTCCTTCCTTCCTTCCTTCCTTCCTTCCTTCCTTCGGCATATGGGCTGTGAATGGCGGCTCTCCAGTGGAATTGTCTTCATTTAATGTTCATAAATATCTTCTTCCATAAATGCTCTTAAAACCATCTTATAAACTCACTAGCTCCCTCATAGCTGAATTAAATACATATTTTTTCCCACATTCCTTCTACATTTCCAAGAATAGTATTCTTTTTAGCCTTAAAAACAGCACATTAGCTAGGCACCAATGGCTCATGCCTATAATCCTAGCTACTCAGGAGGCTGAGATCTGAGGATCATGGTTCAAAGCCAGCCTTGGCAGGAAAGTCCATGAGACTCTTATCTTCAATAAACTACTCAGAAAAAGCCAGAAGTGGTGCTGTGGCTCAAGTAGTAGAGCACAGAGAGGCACAGGGACAGAGCCCAGGCCCTGAGTTCAAGCCCAAGAACCAGCAAAAGCAAGCAAGCAAGCAAACAAGCAAACCAAAAAAAAAAAAAAAAACCCGAAACAAAAACTGCACGTTAGCTTGGAAGGGAGGGGGGTTGGGAGGAGGAAAACTGGGAGAACATGAGGGAGGGAGTGACACTATTCAAAAAGAAATGTAGCTAGTACCTGACTTATAACTGTAACACCTCTATATACCACCTTTACAATATAGTTGAATAAAAAATAAAAATTTTAAAACCTGCACATTAACGAGCTCATTAATTAGAATACCACTTGAACTCTGCTTTAGAATGATGACCATTTTTGAGTGATGTGACAGTCAGTCCTAACATACTTGAAAGACGTTTATCCTTATGCTCATAAAGCAGATGCTACACTCCCATTTTACAGACAAGAAAACGAAAGCATGGGGCTGTGAAATGCTGTTAATGAGTAGAACTCACATTTTATACCGGCTGTTCCTCATCCCATAGTCTTACAATAAAATTTAACAACATTCCTGGAAAAATAACACCGTTGGCTTAATTACAACCCTGTCTGACAGGAGTTTTCTGTTGTAATTTCTGACTAGAATCCTAGTTCCAGAACATAACGTGGTTACAGATGATACTTTTTACGCTGAGACAGGAATTCCTTCATGACCATAAAAATTGTGCTACACTCTCTTTCCTCGCCTGACAGGTTTAAAGATATTTACGACTTTCCCCTCAGCTGTAGCATTAACTGTTTGTCATGTTTATTGTTTTCAGGTGACTTGAAAGATGGTAAAAATAAGGCAGACAAGAAGGATCACGCCGCCGTCGGAAATGATTCAAAGAAAACAGATGGTAAGAGTGACATTCTCATTATATAATCTCACAAAATGTGCAATGTTAAAAGCTTGTCAGAATCATGCCTAAACTTAAAGTAGTGGTTGTCATCATACATTCTTATATTGTACCCCAAAAAATAGAGCACTACATAAAAAGAGCACTGTCACCTCTTTTTCTCAATATTTCTCAAGTATCTCAGCTTCTTTTCAACTCCTCCATAGTTTCTTCATTATCCATGCATACTTTCTATTCTCTCTCTGTCCTGCCTTCAGCTTTTATTCTAAATTTCATAAAAAATTAGTTCTGGGCTTTCTGATTGCAGTGCAGTGGTGTAAAAATATATCATCAATGAATTACAGGTTTGAGGTCATGAAGTATATCTCATAGATAGGATATGTTCCATGTTTTAGTCTTGGCATTTTTATTTACCTTGAGTAAACTATTGTTTTGTTAAAGACAAAAAAAAAACCAAGAGTCTGTTCAGTTTTTACATTGGGAGGTACAGAGATAAAGAAAAAAACCTGAAGACTACCACAATGTAAAACTATAGATAGTGTAAGCCAGCATTGTGACACACTACAAGCACTACCTTACTTGTCATAAACATCTTTCTACTCTTTCTAAAATCTGGAAACTCAACTGATCATGGTGGTTCACATCTGTAATCTCAGCTATGTAGGAAGCATAGATGGGTAGATAGCAGCTCAAAGCCAGCCCAGGCAAAAGCCAGTGTGATTCTATCTCAAACATAAGCCAGGTATGGTAGCCCACACCCGTAATCCTAGATACCCAAGAGACAGAGATAGGAGGATCAGTCCAAGGCTGTCCTGGGGAAAAAGGAAAAATAAAGCCATTTGGGCTAGGGGTATGTGGCTTAAGTGGTAGAGTGGTTAAATAAGCACACAAGGGCCTGAGTTCAAGACAGCAGTAAATAGTAAGTAAATAAAATAACTTGGAAGGTGAAATCATGTCCCCCTGTCTTCTTAGACTGTCAGCGTGAGAAACCTACCTTACCAGCAGCACAGACTTCATTGTTTCAGTCATGAATGGGGCTCGTTCCTAGTTATCCTCTTTTGCAAGGCCATGTTCTTAAGCTAAGCATGAAAGTTTCCAAGATCTGTGTTGCTGAGTCCAGGGTTCTTTTGGAATCATATTTCCTGGGAGATATGTATTTGTATTTGTCCCTCAGTTTGTTGTTTGTTGTTAAAATACCTATGAAGGGCAAATGCCAGGCCATAGGGTTGAGGAGTGAGAAGTGATCTGAGCACAACGCCTCCACATCTATTAGGGAAGTCGTCCCTTAGCTTTCAGCCTTAAGCCATAGTGATGTGCTGTCTTTACTCTGGTGTGAACTCATTTTCCTTTTGAGATTATTCGCAGCCTTCACACTAGGGTCTTCACACACAGAATACTTAGGAACTTTCATCTGTGCTTTTCTCTCAACTTGCTTATGCAAACAGAAACCACTGGCCTGGTGGTCATCCTACTCTCCTGGATTCCTTGTAGTTAAAGAAAATGAATTATGCAGAAATAACATGATCATTTCTCAGCCAAATACCAGAGTCCTTTGCCAGGCATCATTCATTAGAAGCAAAGCAGAAAAATGGCCAGTGGCAGCTAGTGACCCAGCACCAGGATACCCACCCAGTGACCACTTCTGGTGACTGACCAGTGCCCTCTCGTCCCAACACCTGAAGTTCACAAGCACAGAATAGATCAAGTTCAAAGCTTTGAATATGGAATCTTGTTTTGTTTTGCTTTGCTGGTCGTGGGGCCTGATCTCTGGGCTTGGGTGCTGTCCCTCAGCTCTTCAGCTCAAGGCTAGCGCTCTACCACTTGAGACACAAAGCCACTTCCAGCTTTTTCTTCTTATATGGTGCTTAGGAATCGAACCCAGGGCCTCATGCATGCAAGGCAAGCACTCTACCACTGAGCCACCTTCCCAGCTGAATATGGAATCTTGACTCTCACTGACTTGTTAATTGTGCTCTATACAGCTACTATAATGCCAGCAAGTGGGCATTGCAGATTGTTTTATAACCTTCATAAAGCCTTTGATGTAATATTTATTAAAATAATTTATAATGTAGCAAAGGAGTGAAATGGGTTTGGGGTAACAGGGAAGTTAGTGAAGTAAGTGACAGATTTGTCTAATGAACAGGATCCTTGTTCTCAATGTACAGTGAACAGCTTATAGTGAATTAAGGACAGACAAGCTCTCACTTCCATTTCCTTTCTTCCATCCACAACTTTGACTCCCACGGCTTCCAGAAGGATCTGATGTGTGACCATATACTTGTAAGCTCATCGGGAAACATGGGTGTAGAAATGTACTTCGATTTCATTGGTGAACAAACATGTCAGTGAGCATTAGTACAATGAGACTTAGAGCCCTGAGCTTCAGTGACTGATACAGTTGTTGTCCCAAACCTTGGCTGGGAGCATGGCTTCAATGGGGGAACACCTGCCTGACAAGCACAAGACCCTGAGTTCAAGCCCCAGTACTACCAAAACAAACAACAAGCACAAGGCCCTGAGTTTAAACCTCAGTACCACTAAAAGAAAGACCCCCCGCCCCCCGCAACAACTTTCCCAAGAATAAAGCTACTTCTTGGCTCATGAAGGACAAAAGAATTTGACAATTTTCTTTTACCCTCTCCTTTTTTAAAAAAAACTATAACTATGATATACACAAGGGTTACCCTTTCATAAGTCAGTTAAAAAGTACATTTCTTTTTGGACAATGCCATTCCTTTCTTCCCTCTCTCCCAGTTTTCTCCTTCTATCCCTGCCCACAAGTTATATAGTTCATAATGTCTAGTCAGTACCACTGCTGCATTTGTTTACCTTTTGTCCCTCCAGTTCTATGTTCCCCCTTACTTCCCCAAAGACAGATAAATGAACAAACAAGACAAAAAACCCTCTTGCTTCTGCTTCCTGGAATTTTTTTTGATAAATATTATTTTACATGATCAAAGGCACAGAGACATTGTGCCTTTGTATTCCTCCCAAGAGTATTCTCCTTTGGTCTCACTGTGTGTGGATGCCCAGAGTCCTGTATAATTTATCATGTCCTGGCATATTTTAGATGTAGCTTCTTCATATGAGAGAAAAACACGTGCCACTTGTCTCTCTGAGCTTGGCTTGCCTCACGTAACATGAGTTGTTCCAGGTCCATCCATTTCTCTGCAAATTCCATTGTGTGTAGGTACCACAGCACATTTTTGGGATCCACCTATCTATTGTAGGGCATCTGGGCTATTTCCATATCTTGGCTATTGTGAATATTGTGACCAGTGAACATGGATGTGCAGGTGTCTTTATTATATCCTGTTTCATAATGTTCTGGGTGTGGTATGGCTGGGTCATAGGGAGGGTCTATGTTTAGTGTTTTGAGGAACCTCCAGACTGCTGTCCGGTGGCTGTCCAGATTACATTCCCACCAACAGTGCAGTAAGGTCCCTTTTCCACCATATCCCCACCAACATTTGTTGTTTGAGCTCAGGGTATTGACCAGTCTAACTGGGGTGAGATGGAATCTCAAAGTTGTTTTGATTTGCGTTTCCTTTACAACCAGGGCTATTGGGCATTTTCTCATGTGTGTCTGCTATTCTTACTCTTCTGAGATGTCTCTCCTTAGCTCCTTTGCCTATTTAGTGATTGGTTTATTACCTTTGGGAGGGCTTAATTTCCTGAGTTTCTTGTGTATTTTGGATATTAGGCCTTTGTCAGATGTATTGCTGGTAAAGATCTCACAGTCTGTTGGCTGTCTTTATAATTTAGTAACTATATCTTTTGCTGTGTAGAAACTTATAATTTTGATATTATCCCATTTATCAAGTCTCTTATCTGTTGTGTCCCTGGGACTCTTCAAAAAGTTTCTGTCTGTGCCTATAAGGTCTAGTGTTTTTCCCACTCCCTGATGTCGATCAAAGGATCCACTTTGAATTTTGTGCACAGATGACAAACAGGAATCCTCTTTTAGCTTTCTGTATATGGTTGCACAGTTTTCCCACCACCAATTATTGAAGAGGCTATCTTTTTTCCACTGTATAACTTTGGTTCCATTATCAAATATTAGATGACTGTAGGTACATGGTTTTATTTCTGGGTCTTCTAGTTTGTTCTATTGATCTTTGGGTCTATTTTTGGGCAATACCAAGCTGTTTTTGTTACTATAACTCAGTAGTAGAACTTGAGGTCAGGGATTGTGATACCAGCAGCATTGCTTTTTTTTTTTTTGCCTATAATTGCTTTGTCTAGTCAAGGTCTTTTTTTTACCATAATAATTTTTGGATTGTTTTCTCTATCTTGGTAAAGAATGTCATTGAGATTTTGTTGAGGATTGCACTACATTTGTAGATCATTTTTTGGTAGTATGGCCATTTTCACAATATTGATTCTACTTATACATGAATGTGGAAGATCTTTCCATTTCCTGATGTCCTCTTTGATTCCTTTCTTCTAGTTTTTATCATTTTTGCTGTAAAGGTCTTTTGCTTCTTTGGTTAGGTTTATTTTCAGACAATTTTTGAGGCTATTGCAAATGGAGTTGTTTCCTTTCTGCTTGGGCATTGTTGGCATAAAGAAAGGCTACTGACTTTTGTGGGTTAATTTTGCATACAGTTACTTTGCCAAAGTTGTTGATCAGCTCTAGGAACTTGGGGATGGAGTCTTTGGGGTTCTTTAGCTATGCAAATAGGAATAGTCTGACTTCTTCTTTCCCTATGTGAATCCCTTTTGTATCCTTTTTTATATCTTTTGCTTGCCTTATTGCTCTGGCTAAGAGTTCCAGAACTATACTGAAGAGGAGCAGAGAGAATGGCGATCCTTAGTGTGTTCTTGATTTTAGAGGAAATGTTTTTACTTTTTCACTATTTAGTATAATGTTGGCTATTGATCTGTCATATAAATCCTTTATTATTTTGTGATATGTTTCTTCTCTTCCTAGCTTCTCCAGAGCTTTAAACATGATTGGATGTTGGATTTTGTCAAAGGCTTTTATTGCATCTATT